GCACTGTCCCTGAGCTCTTTCACTCAAGACGAGCACTCTTCCACTTTAAGCCACAGGTCTACTGGTTTTCTGAACTTTCCTGATTTAAACCTCGATCCTCAGGTCTCAGCCTCCTGAGCAGTTAGGATTATGTACTAGAGCCACTAGCACATGGTCATACTTGTTTTCTTTTCTTTTTTGGTAATGGGGGAGTTTGACCTCAGAGCCTTCTGCTTGCTAGACAGGTGGTCTACCACTTGAGCCAGGCCCCTAGTCCTATGTATTTTAGTTTTTTTGTTTTGTTTTGGTCATGGGGCTTGAACTCAGCCCCTAAGCGCTGTCCCTCAGCTCTTCAGCTCAAGGCCAGCGCTCTACCACTTGAGCCACAGCACCACTTCCGGTTTTCTGATGGTTAACTGGAGGTAAAAGTGTCAGGGATTTTCCTGCCCAGGCTGGTTTTGAACCATGATCCTCAGATCTCAGCTTCTTCAGTAGTTAGGATTACAGGCATGAGCCACCAGTGCCTGACTTTAGATATGTTTTGAATAATGTCTCGTAATTTTGCATAGTCTCATCTGGACCACAATCCTATTTAGCTTCACGCATATAGCCAGGATGACAGGTACATACTGGGGTTAAGATGGGGATCTTGTGAACTTTTTTCTTGGGCTAGCCTTGAATCACTATCCTCCTAATCTGTTTCACAAGTAACTAGAGTTATACATGTAAATCATAATGCCTAGCTCCATTTCCATTTTGATCCTACACTTCAACTAAAAAATAAACTGAGCCGGGCGTTGGTGGCTTACACCTGTAATCTTAGCTACTCAGGAGGCTGAGATCTGAGGATCTTGGTTCAAAGCCAGCCTGGGCAGGAAACTCTGTGAGACTCTTATCTCCAACAAACAACTCAGAAAACCAGAAATGGCACTGTGGCTCAAGTGGCAGAGCACTCGCCTTGAGCTAAAGAGTACAGGGACAGCGCCCAGGCCCAGAGTTCAAGCCCTACGACCGACAAAAAAAAATAAATAAATAAATAAATAAATAAAAGCCAGGCACCGGTGTCTCATGCCTATAGTCCTAGTTACTCAGGAGGCTGAGATCTGAGGACACTGGCTTGAAGCCAGCCCGGGCAACAAAGTCCATGAGACTCTTATCTCCAATAAGCTACTCAGAAAGTCAGAAGTGGTGCTGAGGCTCAAGCAGTAGAGTGCTAGCCTTGGGCCAAAGAAGCACCCAGGCCTAGAGTTTAAGCCCCAGGATTGGGGCGGGGGGGGGGGGGGGGGGGCACGGGGGAAACCCAAAAAATCCCAAATTCCCAATCCATTCTTGTGAGAGAGACTTCCTGTAAGATAGCCTCAGGCTGGCTTCCATTCAGACCCAGTAAGAGGGCACTGGCACCGTTTACACCACTCTATGAGCTACAGAGTGGATCGCTAATCTCAAAAAGCCAGCTCTCAGAAGGGAATCTCTATTGTGTAGTTTTAAAATTATGTAAATTTAAAAACTGTTTTTGGGTCTGGGAATGTGGCATAGTGATAGAGTGCTTGCCTAGAATGCATGAAGTCCTGGGTTCGATTCCTCAGTACCACATGAACAGAAAAAGCCAGAAGTGGCGGTATGGCTCTAGTGGTAGAATGCTAGCCTTGAGCAAAAGCAGCTTAAAGACAGTGCCCAGGCCCTGAGTTCAGGCCTTAGGACTAGCAAAAAATAAAAAAGCTGTTTTTAAGGCTGACAATTTATTTATTTTCCAAACCATACCCATGTTCTAATATTTTAGATTACTAATGAATTATTAGACACTTGCCCTTCCAACAAGTAAACCTGGCACACCACAAAGATGCACCAATTCAATGTCTTGTTGGGGACCCCACCCATGGGTGTCCAGCAAGCTGTGCTGCCAGGTAGTACAGCCAGGACTCCTGATGCTCCATAGCCATACCACCTCCCTGGCTCCTTCCTACAGTCTCAATGATCTAAAAAGGTGGCCTGGCTACAAAGGCCCTTAAAGGTGGAATAATAGTTAACACAAATAGAAGGGCAGCTCATTCCCAGGCACACAGTGAGCATGCAAAACAGCTTTCCATCACTGATAACCTACTTAAACAGAGATCACATTCATCTGGCCTATGGCTCCAGAAGCCTCAGTTCACAATCTGCCGGCTCTGTTGCTTTTGGATTTGTAGAAAGGCACAACATCATCATGGAAGGTGGTGAACAAACACTATTTACGGTTCAACTAATGGCAGCCATGAAGGAGAAGGGGAGGGGGGGGGGGAGAGAGAGGGAGAGGGAGAGGGACAGAGAGAGAGGGAGAGGGAGAGAGAGGGAGAGGGAGAGGGAGAGGTGTGGCTGATATGGTTAGTATGATATCTCAAACTTCTCCCTCATTCCCTATTGATGCTGTGACTCCCATTTAGCCCAAGGAAAACAGGCATTTGCAGGTTTTTATAAAAGCAGCTACACATACAGCTCTGAAAGATGGAGAGATAGGGGTTCCTGGAGGAAATAACAGAGTTGTAATAAATGCTTCCGCTTCCATAAGAACAAAGCAGCCTATTAAACACCAACAGGTCAATAGAAATGTGTTCATCCTTTCTTAATTTTATGTTAGGTTTGTTTCTCAAATACAATAATAACTGAATTGGCAAACTAAGTTGCAACTCAGCCAAATGCACTTTCTTGTTGAGTTTGAAAGGAAATTTGAAAGCTGCTGCAGCTGTGGGAAACAAGGGGCCTGACCACACATTCTAACACTGGCCCATCTTACCCTCATGGGATCACTCACAAATCCCTGAATGAGAACAAGGCAGGGTACTACCAGATAACACTTCTGTGGTGCTGCCCTGGAGGACTGAGGAAGAATGAAGGCCCTGAACAAAAGGCAACCAATTCCCTGCAGATGACATTCAACCCTCACACCACACCGGGTCCCTCAACTGCTGGCCTCTTTCCACCTCACATCTCACCTGAGGCAAGATTCTATACAAAAACCAGACCCAGTCAGGATGTTTCACATCAAACTCCAAGTATTTCTCTACCCTATTATAATCCTCCAGCCTCCCACACTCTGCTGAGACTGTCTAGCACAGCCCTTCATTGCTGTTTTCTTTTTTTTTCAGGGGGGGGGGGCCGGGAGGGAAGAGGTGTTGGTGGTGGGGCTTCAACTCAAGACTAGGCGCTGTCCCTGAGCTCTTTTTGCTTATTGAGCCACAGCTCCACTTCCCCGTTTCTGGTGATTAACTGGACTTTCCTGCTCAGGTGGGCAGCACACCACACTTCTCAGATCTCAGGCTCCTGAGTAGTTAGAATTGTAGGCATGAGCCACTGGCATCTGACCAGCCTTTCATTTTTTATACCTCCCTTTTTCTTCACTTCTAAAACCAGACACCTACACAGAGCTGGCTTTCTCAGCAGGACCACTGACCTCACGAAACCTCTCCCCACTTCCTGAGTGACTACAGGTAACATATGGCAGGTTTATAACTCCTACAGGCTTGATTCTCTCTCTTACACACCTACTCCTGCCTTGTGGCTGGCTGGGAGCTGGTGTGCCTATAAATATTCAAATGGTTCCATTGGAAGAGTTTTACTTGTGGATGACACTAGTCTCCTGTTTTGTTTTCCTGGTAAAACCATCTCAAATCCATTCAATGGGATTAAATAAATCACTATAACAGATGAATGAGATTTCAGACTCCTACTTTAACAAACATCACTGACTAGCCATGTTTGGCAGCTGATAACCACACTTAAAACACACACTGGACACAACGGGAAAAACAGAGGCTGTGGCTTCCAGACCTGCTAAATGATCTAAGTAAGACAGTTGGTCTCTTGGGATCTGAGTTTGCAGTTTTTTTTTCTTTTCAATTTTTTCCTGTGGTTTTACAGATGTTTTTGAATATTTTTAGCATTTTCAAGTAATATTTGGGAGCCAGTTAATATGCTGCCTCATTTTGAGAGAAATAATACTATTTAAAACTATATGGCTGGGGGCTGGGAAGGTGGCTTAATGGTAGAGTGCTTGCCGCGCACGCATGAGGCCCTCAGTTCAATCCTCAGCACCACATAAGCAGAAAAGGCCAGAGTGGCTTGAGTGGTAGAATGCTAGCCTTGAGCTGAAGAGCGGAGGGACAGTGCCCAGGCCTAGAGTTCAGGCCCCACGACCAACCAAAAAACAAAAACAACAACAACAAAAATGTGTATGGCTGGGAATGTGGCACAGTGGTAGAGTGCTTGCCTAGTATGCATAAAGTACTAGGTTCAATTCCTGAGTACCACATAAACAGAAAAAGCCAGAAGTGGCACTGTGCTCAAGTAGTATAGTGCTAGCCTTGAGCAAAAGCAGCTCAGGAACAGTGCTTAAACAGTGTTCAAGCCCCCATCTGGCAAAAAAAACAAACCAAAACAACAAAACTATGTAAGAGCCCGGTGCAGCTATTTTATTGAGTGCCTGTTGGAGGTATGGCCTTGAACTTGCCATACATAAGGGTGCAAGTTTCTTTTTTTGGGGGGGTCGGTCGTGGGGCCTGAACTTTGGGTCTGGGCGCTGTCCCTCAGCTCTTCAGCTCAAGGCTAGCACTCTACCACTTGAGCCACAGTGCCACTTCCGGCTTTTTCTGCTTATGTGGTGCTGAGGAATGGAACCCAGGGCCTCATGCATGCAAGGCCAAGCACTCTACCACTGAGCCACCTTTCCAGCCTAAGGGTGCAAGTTTCTAGAAACTGAAGACAAGGTAGCTGGGGTGGACAGGGGTAGTTATAATCAACTTGAGGACTGGGGGAAATTCTAATCAACTTTGTAATGCCTGTGTTGGACTTTATCATCACAGATAGTCTCAGGGAAAGGCCTCCATATGAAACTTATCTTCTTTATGAGGAGGAAACTCTCTGCCTGATCCAGGATTCTGGCTACAGAGAGGTTTCCTGTGTTTTGAATTCTGCATGGGAAGAGCTGCACAAAAAGAAGTGATTATAAGTAATGGTCTCAAATGAAACCATATGAAGAAGGAACGTACCAGGTCAATCAGGTCACTGAGGTTTTTCTCGATTTGCTGTGGAGGCAGGCGCCTCATTAGGTCCAAGGCACAATCCAGCTGCTGATCACTCTGTGGAGGAAGAAAAAGAGTGCTTAAGTCACTTCTGCCCATAGTAAGAATTCTTTCTTAAAAGCATCTTTCTGGTTGCTTGGGGCATATTCTAAAACCCAAAGAGAACCACCATGGGCCTCCACCAAATCTGTATGTGGTTCAGCCCATAGTCAGGACAGATGCTATGCAGGCTGCCTGCCCTCCTTCCAGAGAAGCCTCTGTACTAGATCCCAAAGGAAGTGGAGCAGGGCACAAGTCTTCTTGCTATGTGCTCAGAAGACTTGACAGCTGATGTGCCAGCTTCCCAGGTGGTTCTATGGTAAGCAGGCTCCTGTAGCAGGTTTGCCAGGCAAGGGTTTGATGAGCTTCATGCCACAGATAAACCAGGCAAAGATAGAATGTTCTATGATAGGGATAAAAGTGCACCATTCATTCAAACAGGCTGGGAAGTTTTCTGAGGCCCTGTGCAAACAAGACCTGAGCTCGCTCCAGCTAGCAACAGGGCAGCTGACTGCTGCCGTGGGGTGCTAGGAAATAGTTTTTGCCTATTGCGTGTTTTTTGAAAGTTATGCACAGTGTGCTTCAGCAGACCTTCCTCACTTAATACTTAGATTATAACTATTTACTAAGGTCACTATGTCCCAGTCACCACAAATATACAGAAAATAATGAAAGCAAGGAAGGGGGAGGGAGGGAGAGACTGGGGGCAAGATGGTAAAGTGAAGTGAACTGGGAGGAAGGCAGTAGACTACAGCTAAGAAGCTCAGAGAAGGTGGGGAAATGGAACAGGAAAAATGGCAGTGACCTCTGTCACACTCGTAAAGTTCAACCAGTGAGGAAGGTGGAGCCCTTAACAGGGCCACCTGATTTGTGTTTGGAACCAGTCTGTCCCAACTAATTTCAGGACTGTTTGAGAGCTCTAAACCAACAAGCTAATGAGTCTCTCATAAAATATACAAGGTAATCCTCAAAACCCTACATTTGGACATAATGAGATACCACCTTTAAATATTACCACTTACATCCAGGCCTGTTAACCACAAGTAAGCAGTGGGGCACAGACCCACTTTATATCCACAAAGACAGAACATGTTTCTAACCAGAGTCAATTTAATTTCCAGATATTGGCTTGTCACATGTAGAAGGCTGTTTAAAACAAAAAAAAAAGGTCGGGCGCTGGTGGCTCATCCTGTAATCCTAGCTACTTAGGAGGCTGAGATCTGAGGATCGCAGTTCAAAGCCAGCCTGGGCAGGAAAGACCGTGAGATTCCTATCTCCAATAAACCACCAGAAAACCGAAAGTGGCACTGTGGCTCAAGTGGTAGAACGCTTGTCTTGAGCTGAAGAGCTGAGGGACAATGCTCAGGCCCAGAGTTCAAGCCCCACAACCGACCAAAAAAAAAAAAAAAAGCTCCTGCCTTGCTCATGGCAGTTATCAGTGACCGTTTGTCCTAGGACACATAACAAACTGGCTACTCTGCAAAGAAATAAAAACCAAACTGAAAACACCAACGTCGAAACCCTACCACTTGTTTTGCTTAAACAAACACTCCGCAGCTCCCCGTTCCTAACTGGGCCTCACGGGTCGACACCAACATGTGTCAGCCAAGGCCATGGTAACAGGGGTTTGGCTGGCTGGCATCAATAGGAATTTTAACACCATGCCTAGGGCAGAGCACAGATAAACTGACTTGACTAGAGATGCATCTTCAATTCCTAGGTCTGTCATTCATTCAACTGGTGACCCTAGGTAAGTTTCCCCTCCTTTACTTACTCCACTGGATAGGAGCAGCTCTACAGATAAGAGTGCATGCAGGCTGGCTGGTGGTTCACACCTGTAACTCTAGCTACTCAATAGGCTGAGCTCTGAGGAAAAAGGTTCAAAAGCCAACCAGAGCAGGAAAATCCATGAGACATTTATATCCAATAAACCACCAGAAAAACTGAAGTGCTGTGGCTCAGAGTGTTAGAGTACTAGCTTTGAGCAAAAAAGCTCAGGGATAGCACCCAGGCCCTGAGTTCAAGTCCCATGACCCAAAAAAAAAAAAAAAAAAAAAAAAATGCAAAGAATGAATGAAGGATATGTAACACAAGATAGCTTGTGTTTACTGGTTGGAGAATGATGTATAAATATACATACAGGTCTTACATATTTCGAAAATAGTTTTAAATACGCTTTACAATATCCTTCTCAGTCTCCCCAACCCTGATCTGATCTCTCCTACTGTGTTGGGAGTTTGAATCAACTGTTCACACTTCACAACGGCTAAGTGTTCCCTTGCCTGGGCAAGAATGAAACCCTAAATGATTCAACTGAAACTTGTCACAAACTGTGAACTAGTGTTTCTTAGCCAGGAGTGATTTTTGGAGGGCAGCCCCGACCCCTGCCAGGAGATGCTGAGTGACACATGGAAGCAGATCAGGCTGGAAAGGGGGAAGCTGCTGCTGTTTAGTGAGGAGGGCTTATGATGCCCTAAACGTCCAGTCGTGCGTAGGACAGCTTTCCCACACCACTGTCTCAATTGCTGGCCTGGGTACTAAACCTCAAATCATCATTAAGGGGTCCTGGTCAAAGCAAAGACAAAGCCTGTCTCCAGAAACTGCACAGGGTAGAGGAGTGCTGTGCCTACAATTCTACTCCAAACACACTCACAAGCTCTTCTGGTCTCTGGAAAATAACTAGACATTAACAATCTTTTTCAGTTATAACTAAGCCTAGCTAATTTGAAACTGTAATCCAGAACATCTTGGGATTCAGAAGGGATTACATAAAACTTGAGAAGTGTTATCCAGGAAAAGACCTAACTTGACCAGGGAGGGCAATGTGTAAACACAGCATTCAGACCCTCTATGGGGCCTCTTCACCTCCCAGCCAGTCAAACCATCCTTATCCCAAAGGCCAGCCACAGGCGGCCAGGCTGACTATACCTCCTGCCGGCACCACACTTTCCCTAAACCATCAAACTCGCATTGTGCATTCGTCCCAATTAATCTTAATTGGAAATGTTTCACAGCAAATTTCTAGGGCTAAGGATGTTTAACTATCATTAAACTAGGAAATGACTAAATGCTTCCTTCCCCTAAGTGAAGCAACATGGGAAAGCTTACTGACAGCTTGTAAAAAGTTAAAATTACACTCACAGGAGTCAGCCCAAACCCGTAAGGGGCCAAACAGAAAGAGAACGAAGAAACATGGATGACTTACAGCCACACACAACATTTGGGACCCCAGAAACAGGACAACAGGGTAGGGGTGGAGTCCCCAAAGGGGTTGATGACCTGGGATGCAGCTACATTCATAAGGCCCAGAAGGAAGCAACAGCGAATTGTTATTTAGACACAAACATACGTGTGTGCGTGTATATGTTCATGCAATTTAACATAGCAAAATTTTTCCTCTTCTGCTTCAAGACAAGGGAATGAAGAACACAAAGTTGGGAAGAACAAGGAGGAAATGACAACAAACCACCAAAAGGTGACAGTAATGTGGCCCAGGCCTTCTATGGAATGGGAAGACCCATGATGTCAGAACCTAACATTAGTTAATATGCCACTAAGTCAAAACTTACGTTACCAAGATGGTTACTGGACAGATGCTCAAGGTATTTTTTCCCTTTTTTTTCTTTTAGGTCCGAGACTGGAATTCAAACTCAGTACCTTCTCCTTTTGCCTACTGGCTAGTGTTCTATCAACTAAGCCACAGCTCTAACCCCTCAAGGTAACTTTTTAAAGATACTAGAGAGGAATATGAACAGGAGCAAGTGAGGACAGGGTTTCAGTCTTTCTGTTCACTAGATGTGCATGTGACTTAACCTTGTGACCTGAGATTTGGACTTGATGGCTTTTAAGATTCCTTCTAGATGGACCATGACTTATACTCTACCTAAAGTGCAGACAGACACAGAACTGAGTCCCATCTGCCCCATCATTCTGGATTCTGTCCCATGCAGACCAACAACTAGGTGCTATAACAATTACAGTCTGTGTGCCAGCCTTGGGCCAGGCTCTGGTCGTGGCCCACAGCATGAAACTGAGTCCTAAACACTAGAGTGCCTACACTCAGCTAGGTGCCAGTGGCTCATGCCTATCATCCTAGCTACTCAGGAGGCTGAGATCTGAGGATCAAGGTTCAAAGCCAGCCTGGGCAGAGAAATCCACAAGACTTAGCTCCTCAGAACTGAGGTATGGCTCAAGTGGCAGAGCACCAGCCATGAGCAAAAAAGTCTAATTAGAGAACACCAAACCCTAAGGTTGAAGGACCAGTTCCAGCACAAAAACAAAACAAAACAAAAAAGAACCAACTGTCTATAAATGAGACAAGGCAGTGTAGTGTGGTCAGTAACAGGACACAGAAGGTCCAAAGACACAGGCACAACTCACAGCACACAGATTTTCCCAGGATCTCCCTCCCTTGTGGTTTCCTTTATCCGCAAGTTCTATTTATTTTGCAAATTGTCACCCCTTGACTAAGACAGCTTCTCTGAAATGTCGACTGATTCCAGACACCCCGTTCATAAAATGAGCTTTTACCCTTCCACCTCCCACTGGAGGTGTACTGAATTGAAAAATAAATAGCAGAAGAATGACCATCTCATTACATCCTCCAGAATTCTCTGCCCATTCAATTCGTCATTCACTAATTATTTATAGTGTCTCCTAGGTAACAAGCACTGTTTCTGATGCTAAATGGTGAACATAAAGTCTTCTTAGAGCTTATGATGCTGTCAAAATCAGGAAGGGCAAAGAGCAAGGCGTACGTCTGTAAGGACGTGGAGGAATGTGCCAAGGAGGCGCCTTCGCAGTTCATCACCTGAGGCAGGAAATGTGTTTGCTTTTTGCTGGTTTTCCTCTGACTTTAAAGAAAAAGCACACAAAACAGCTTAAGTTATCCCATAGCAAGTAAAATAATATTAATATGGACAAGAACAATTTTCCAGAAAATAATGGAAGTCAAAATACTACAGCACAAAATGCCCACTGGAGAATTCAGACATGAGTGTTGTTAAATCATCAGCTGT